ATTTCTCGTATATCTAGCGATAGCTTTCTCATCACGTCGTAGACATAGACCGTAGTGTCATGTGTAGTTGTATCGTTCGAACTGTTCTCCTTCCAAAAATCGAATTCAAGGCGTAGTCTGTTCATGCCAAGTTCGAGGGTTTCCATACGAGTTGTCAGTTGCGTGACAGCTGAAATCGCTCATTTGCATGTGTTCGTGGAGCTCTTGAGACCCATAAGGACCTTTCGCAGAGAACCCCCTAGCTTTGAAGTCGTTGATCGATGAAGGGCACACTTGTGTGGGACAAACTATTAGACTTTGGTTCTTGGGGCAGGGAACACCATCGTGTTGAGTGGAATAACGGGTTTAAAAGAGCACCCCCACCCTTGGAATGTGTGTATCTGACAAGAAATCGTAATTCATCGCGCTGGTGGGCGTCGCGTGCGACGTCGCGCCCCAAATGACGATGGTTCCAGGTAGTAGATGGCGACAACAGGCAATTCAGAACCGAAAATAGTCATGAATGTCTACGATGACGGGGTCTACATGAAGTCCGGTGCTCCAATCGACAGGTTAACACGAGTTAAAAAACGTCGCGCCCATCGCCGCGCGCGGCGGAGCGGCAAATTACGATTCTCTTGCCCGTCTCCCTGGAGTGTCTTCTAATGGTTGCCTTTTTACCCATCTTACCTATCATCTTCCTAATTCTCCCGACCCCCTTTATACACAGGTTTTCCAGAAAGTTTAGAGGGGGGAATATTATACGCGCAATGTCATACGATATTAAAGTCTGGAAAAGTGACATCGAAATAAGATTCTGAAAGATCGCGATTGCTGCGTCAAGGAAATCTTATTGAAGGTCACGCTTTGCGCTTGAAAATATTTTGGTAAGGTAACTGTCAGATAGTGAAAAAAAAACCAAGTGACCCCAGCTAGAGTTCCCGCTCGTATGACCGCCACAACTGAACCGTTTGTTGCAAAGTGCAGGACCGGTGTCATTGATGTGGGCAGAACTGGTACCGGATCAACTGCCTCAGCATTAGGCCTTCATAAATGGGAGCGGGCGGTGCCATGGCCCACTGGGCGGAGCCGTAGCCTCTTCGCGAGTGTGTCGCGCTTTCCTAACGTGTTCCTGAGCTGCAACAGCAGCACATAGTTTCTCCATGCTTGCTGAGACCACCGCCCATAAAGGTGTCTGAACAGGCGTCAAAGAACGTGGTGCGTGCCTTTCAAGCCCACGTACGAAACCCACCAGCCAAATACGACCCTTGTCCTCTCATGGCGACTAGTAACAACCCCCTCCCACCTTTTTATAGAGAATCTCAAGCTAACTAGATAACTTACTAGCGAAGCTTTCTTGAAGTTTCACGTAGCGTTTCGTCAAAGTGTAGGTGTTCACTGCCACGTAAATGAGCGATAATGACAGAATGCTGAGCAGAAGGCAATGGCAAAAGCTGATGTCGAGCAGAAAACGTCTGGATCCCCTCTCAGACCTGAAAATTACTTTATCCTGAGAGACGCGTCTGTGTTAATAGGCATTCTTCCGCTTTGTCGCATCCAGCACTAGGACGGAAATTAGCCACACAACCCAGAGCGCCCCTCTTCCGCGAAAGAAAAATGGAACAAAGACCAGAACGCTCTGCCAGAATGGCCGCCGAGGGCCGATCCGTAAGCGAGAGGCCTCATTTAGCAAATGATACCCAGCTTCCGCCGCTGACAAGGCCCGATTGAAGCTTACTTTTGGAAAAATCGCCTCCTCGGTGGTCTCCGCTCCAAAACACCATCGTCCGAGTCATCGGAACCAGTCAGAAGATTAGTTGGCATTAGTCTGCAAGTGAATGGCTAGTAAGCACTGAGGCCTGAAAGAAGCTTGACTCATTATGTAGGGCTCGGCTAGATTCAAATACGAGATGCATTCAGGCAATCCACAGCTCGAGACGAATGACATTTAATCAAATGAGTCCAGAAATTTAATTGTCACTAAAAAGCGTGGTTAACGAAATTGTTATGGAAAACGTGAAGGGGCTGCCCAAATTGGGCCACGAAAAAGGGCTACAACTAGCTTTCCCAGAAAGGACGAGTACTCATCATGATAACCTGCGAAATTTACCAGAAGAATGCCGAGTTATAGGCAAGTGTCAGTACTCGTCAGGACTCCAGCTAGCACTATAGCCTGGTAAGCATGTAGTCCTCGTCAGAATTCTGCTTGGGGCCAAATGTCCTGCCTATAACTCAGCAAGGAAGCTTGAGCGCACGGTTTTCGACGAAAGAAAGAGTTTGAAAAGCTCACTAGAATCGGGGAACGTTCGATTGCCAGGGAACATTTTTGCAACCCTCTCCCTTTTTGAATTTCTTCCTCTGGTGCAACTCCCCCCGTCAATCCATCCAATGTTACCAAACGTATAACTTTTGCCCTCACTTCTTAAGCCATGTTTTCCGACAGCGTGTGGGGAATTCAGGAAAAATCAGCAACCGAAAAAAGACAGAGAATTTATTTATTTATTTATTTATTTATTTGTGGACGCAGTGAAACTGCGCTACATAATTGTACAATCACAATCGGCAAGTACATCAATTGAAGTAAGACAAATCCCATAAATGTGAGAACTTAGGAGACCTCTGAATTAACTAGCCTGGTGGCCCTTATACGAAAGGCTCCAGGTGTCATTTGGAAAATATCTGGGCCAAAAATTTTGTTCAATAAGTGAAGCACCCTGATCACAAAGAATTTAGACCTACTTGCGTTCTGTGAAACCAGGAAGCCCTGACTGATAGTGCTCTCCCTCTACTCCTAGAGGTGACTAATGTAAAGAATTCATCCGATTTGACCATTGCTCTACCAGTGAGGATCTTGAAAGCCATCATGAGGTCATTGATTAATCTTCTATTAAGTAGACTGGGTAGCCCGTAAAGACGCCGTCTTTCTACTGCACTTGGGAGAGAATCATAACTTATTCCGGAACATCGCAGCGCAAGTTTACGAGTAAAGCTATTCTGGACACTTTCCAAGAGCTTAATATCCTTTTTTTATATGGCGAGAATACTGAAGTTCCATGTTCCACTACAGGTCTAACATAGGATTTATAGGCCTGCAGCAATATCTTGGGATTTTTCGAATTCAGTGCTTTGAAGAGAGTATAAATTCTGTTGTTAGCCTTGGAAACCAATGTCTTATAATGTGTTTCAAATCCAAGTTTGTTGGAGAAGATGAAACCTAGATCCTTTATCTCTTGAACTGACTCTAAAGTTACTGTTCCAATTTTGTAGCTACAACTGAAACGTTCACTACCGATTCTTAAAACTTTGGTTTTATCGGGAGCTAAGGGTAATCCCCAATTCTCGGACCAACATACAATATGATCAATAGCTCTCTGCAGGTCCTCGCAGTCAGACGCACTTTCCATAACTTTGTACAGTTTGATATCATCGGCATACATTAAGCATTTGACCCCAAATCTGGACAAGGAGGCAGGGAGGCAGGCCGTGTAAGCAATAAACAGTAAAGGTGATAACACTCCACCCTGAGGGACGCCACTAGTGATCGAATACTTTGAAGAAAAGCTATCTCCAATTCGCACTTGGTACGTACGATTGCAAAGGAACGATTCAATCCAGCGTACTATGAGTGGATAAATCCCGAGCGATTCTAACTTAGCAGTGAGTTTGCGGTGTGGTACCCGATCGAAAGCTTGACAACCCTCCCTCCCCTCTAGCGACCAATACACCCACCCTCACTGGGGATTCCACTATGCGTGCGAGCCGTGCTGTGCCTAACAATATTCCGAAATCCCCGAGATCGGTAGGCTGTGTGCTTGAACTTAACCTGAAGGAGTCTATGCTTTTGCTGAGATATTTTCATCTTGACACAACTACTGTCGTGTCTCCAAGATGACAGTTGTCCAGACTGGAATATTCCACGAGTAATCAGTTCCGTGCCATGTTCAAATGCCACGCCTATCCTGGCTCAGGGACAAAGAGCGCTACCTTCTCTCCACTGCAGTCTGGTGCTAGTACCTTTGCCAGGCCTGAAATTTTGACTAGTACAGAAAATAAAGGTGATAATTTTCTGAAATGGATATATGGCTAAGGAGAGTCGAGTAGTAAAATTCTGGCATTCCTCGGCAGATTTATCTCCCGAATGACATTTTTGGGCCAACGAAATCCCATAAAATGCCATTTCAGATGAACGGAGCACATTTCCCAGCGAGGAAAACATGAAGCTGTGGCAGGTCCATAAAAGCTCCAAAGCGAGAGCAATATAGCCCAGCCGAGAGTTACTAGCGCTTAAACGTATGAAGTAGGTGGTCATGAATAATTTATCACATCACTCGGGCGCACCAATTGGTTCGCATATACGAAATGACGTCTTAGGAGCATACGTAAGTAACAAGGAGATGAATGCAGTGGGAGAAAATGGGTTTGGTGAGGAAATGGCTGAGACCGGCCGCCTAGTTGATTATGGAGATTTATGCAGAAGAGCTGCAAGAACTCAGCCTACTCAAACTCCTCCCAACCAGTTTTTCATTTATTTCGCGGGTCGCGGGTTACTGAACCAAGCTCAAAATTAACCCTCTGCTGGAGCAATATTGCATAGCACGGCTGTGAGTAAATGCAAGTGATGAGAGGGGCTCACCTATTCGAACAGAACTACTGGTTACCAACAAAATTGGCATGTGGACCCCTTGATTATCATTTCAAAAGTCACGTTGCCGCTGCAAGGGTCCTTTTTGTGAGAACATCATCCGTATGCGTTTTCGAAAGTCGCTGCTCGGCTTAGGAATGGGAGGGGCACTCTTTCATTTTGCCGAATTCTTTTTCTCTTTTACTAGTCTCCGCCAAATTGTCTTACCTCGGTTGACTCTTGTCAAGTGTAAACTGAGCTAATGGTATTGCATATCTTTACAGGAATTTACAGGTATCCACATGAGGTAATGATGACCAGTAGGAACCAGCACAATGCCCCCACCAAGCCAAACGAACCTTGAGTATGTTAATGGTGTTAAGCGTGCCCAGGCTCTGAAGAAAAAAAAGCGAAAAGGTCTGATTAGGCAATATTGTCAACCTGAACTTAAGCTAGACTATTGCCGAAATGTGTGCAGTCTGAAGAAATCTTAGCTGAGAGAATGGAGTTCTTTCAGGCAGAAAAGAGTGAAGAGAAACCAGCTCACCCGTGGTCAGCCCTCTATAGCGTCGCAGACATCAATTCTAAGGGCTTAAAAATTTGAAGGGTAATTTTGAGGCGGTCTCTGTACGCTCTCACAGAGCGCATTTTATTTGATTACACTGCAAGTTTCTAATTAATTCAGCAAAAAAAAACGTCGCCATAAGTTTTTTGGGCCTCAAGGGACACGTCACGGTGCGAAGACGTAAGGTAAGGATCAATGTGACCCACCAGATACCACTTGGATGGGGTGTGTAAAAAGATAGTCGTTATACGCCGCGCTGTGGGCGTGGCGAGCGACATCGCGCTTGTCGAGTTGTCTTGCCTGGCCGTTTGAATATGAGTGTTGAAGGAAGGGGAAAATCCGATATCACCCGTCATGAGGCCTCGATTTCGGTTGAATTTACGGGTTTCTCTGCGTCAACCCACAAAACGATGCAGATCGAGAAGTTGCCGAGCGCCGCTTTAGGGTACGCCGCGCGCGACGACTCGGCAAATAACGATTGTCTTGTCCGTCTCATTCTGGCGAGATATACTAGCAAGTGACCCGCCTATCATTCGCGAGCGAATTCAAAGGGCTAAAGCATGGGTTGCTCCCCCTTCTCTGCGCCAAGCGATATTTCCAGGCCGGAGTGGGCAAATTAGTATCAAACTCATTTGAGAGAATAAAATCAATGATCTTTTCAAGAGCTGTTCCCCGGGAGATTGTGGTCAATCAGCTTTCACATAGCTGAGAAATGCTCCTCTAAAAAGCGCAGACCGTCAACAGAACAGTTAAAGGTGACATTTTCTAATTTCAGGCAAAAAAAAAAACCAAAGCTCTGAAAAAACTTAAATTTCGTAAATTTTAATCAGAAGATACGACGTCGTTTGAGGTATGTTAGAGGGGGATAGGAATGAATAACAATTAGAGCAGCTTATGGAAAGGGAACGGCATTCTGCCTTAAATGAAGCTGATTGAGATGTCATTATGCAGAGCGAGCTAATCGTGCCCCCTCCTCATTATACAAACAGTGGCTTGATTTCTCGTTGCACTTCTTTGAATGAGAATCGCACTTGCCGATGCACTTTTCATTCTCCACCATCGTTTAGATGCGAAAGAGAGGAATACAAGTTAAAGAGAGTCTAGACAAACTATTCGCAGTAAAGCCGTCTCGAGGGAAAAGTCAATCGAACTGTGGAAAAAGTCGTTTGAAATCAATAGAGAAGTTAAAATCTGTTGAAAACTGCCTTGAGAACCCCGCGAGTTATTGCGAAATGAAAAGTTCTTTTGGAAACTTCAAACTCACGACTCCACTCTCACCAAAAGAAAATTCATAATTGAATGTCCTGAAAGCCCTGGGGGAATGCTGGGGAGCATAGCGTGAAATTGAAAATGAACAGAGCAACAAACAAGCGCTTAGGGAAGGCTCCCAGAACCCCCCCCCCCCCCTCTCCCTCTCCCCGGAATCGGCTCGTTATGAGCATTTCACTAGAGGATTTGCTCATCGCCGAAACTATGAGAGGACAATCAGCTTCTGAGCTTGAGCTTGGCTCAACTATAGTTGTGGTTGGTGCGAATCCCATAGATGAGCCGGACTAGAGGTCATTACGTCCGAAGCGTAGCCCGAATCGGTATTCGAGCTTGAAAGCACCAACGGAAACTACCTCATTAAAACGCGAA